ATTTCAGAGAGGAAGATAGAGGGAGAGAGAGAAGCAATGATGAGAGAGACTCATTGATTAGCTGCTTCCTGCACACCTCAATGGGGATCAAGCCTGCAACTTGGGCACGTGCCCTGTAAAGGAATCAAACCTTAACCTCCAGGTTCACAGATCGATGCTCAACCACTGAGGCATAACAGTTGGGCTATGTAATACTCTTAATGAGCGATACACCAACATGAAAAGAGAGCTTGAAGCAATACATAAGAATCAATTGGAAATGAGAAATGACATAGCTGAAATAAAGAACACCCTGGAAGGATTCAACAGTAGACTAGAAGAAGTTGAGGACTGAATCAGTGAATTAGAAGACAAGGCAGAAAAAACACTCATTCAGAGCAGCAAAATGGGGGGGGGGAAGCAGGAGGAGAGTCTAAGGGAACTCTGAGACAACATGAAATGTAACAATATCCACATTGTAAGGGACTATTAAGAGCAGAATCTGAGACAGGAAGAGAGAACCTGTTAGAAGAAATAAGGGCAGAAAATTACCCTAATCTGGTGAAGGAAAAAGTCACTCAAGTTCAAGAAACACAGAGAGTCACAATCAAATTGAACACCAAAAGACCCACACCTAGGCACATATTAATTAAAATGGCAAGCATTAAAGGCTGTAAGAGAGAGAAAGTTACCTACAAGGGAGCTTCCATTAGACTGTCAGCTGACTTCTCAATAGAAATAATTCAGATCAGAAGGGAATGGCATGAAGTTTACATGGTAATGAAAACTAAGGGAATGAACACAAGAAAATTCTATCCAGCAAGGCTATCTTTCAAAATCTAAGGTGAAATAAAGAGCTTTTCAGATAAAACAAAAGGCTGAAAGAGTTTATTACCACCAAACCAAAACTACAAGAAATGCTAAAGGGACTGTTGCAAGAAGAAGTAATAGAAAGAGATGTACAGGGGTATAAATTATAAGAATGGCAATAAATAAGTACCTATCAATAATAAATTAGAATGAATATGGCTTAAATGCTCCAACCAAAAGACATAGGGTAGCTGAATGGATAAGAAAACCTAGCCCATATATATGCTGTCTACAAGAGTCCCAACTTAGAACTAAGGACTTACACATAATAAAATTCCCATCAATTCTTTGCTAGTAAAAATAAGTTTTGCCATTTTAAAGATTTTCTTCAGACTTCACCCTTGAAGTAAATTCTTTCTGAGTAAGTGTTAAGTGAGACAGGTTAAGATTGCAAAACAATGAAATAAAATTAAATATATTAACAAGCTGAGATGATTTAAGATTGGTGTAGGAGTTAAAATATGAAGCAAAGGAATAAAAAATCAGTGATCATGATTCAATGGGAACTCAGTCTATTCTAGCAATCATTGCCTGTAAATTATTATTATCATTATCATTATTATTATTAACATTTTTATTTCTTGCAGTATGAAGCACAGGGAGAATATCACCATTATAGATCAAGAAAAAAGTGATATTTTCATATAAAAAAAGACAATTAGCCTAAAGTTAATGCCCCAGTATAGGAAAACAGCTGATATTCAAACACCTTTAAAAGTACACTATTGTCCCCTTTGTCATATGACATATACTTTTTCCAAAGAGGAAAGATAGATGTACAACAGAAATTACATATACCCATTATTAAAATTATCAAGTGAAATGTAATGAATGAGCATCAGGTGTTCCAAGTAATGTTTCCAGAGCTCTCTTCACTCTTAAATACAAGAGATTACATTAATCTATGCAAATCAGCGTCTTCCAAGGATCCATCCTACTCTGGCTATGGCAGTTAACATTAGAAATTATGGCAATTGCCGAAACCGGTTTGGCTCAGTGGATAGAGCGTCGGCCTGCAGACTGAAGGGTCCCAGGTTCGATTCCGGTCAAGGGCATGTACCTGGGTTGTGGGCACATCCCCAGTAGGAGATGTGCAGGAGGCAGCTGATCGATGTTTCTCTCTCATCGATGTTTCTAACTCTCTATCCCTCTCCCTTCCTCTCTGTAAAAAATCAATAAAATATATTTAAAAAAAAAAAAAAAAGAAATTATGGCAATTGAAAATGGGCCTGCTGTAGTTTTTTAGCATCTCCCAAAACAAATATTCCTAAAGACTGATAATTGAAGTAGAATGCTAATCTTTCTCAATTGTCCCATTTTTTTGCTTCTTAAAGTAATAGAGAGCATGTGAAGGTTATGACTCACAGGTAGTTATTACCATCACTCTGATCACATACTAACACACAATAAAAACATTTCTAATACCTTGTAGTGTAGCAAAATTTTTCACCATCAGATTATTGAACTACTCCCCTATTAGTTTTCATTTTTAGTTTTTTTTTTTAATAAAATGACATGGTTTATGGATATATTTTATTCATCAGTATATTTTGTTCATTAGATTTCACATATGAGTGAAATCATGTGAAGAATTATATCTAATCTCTAATATGTGTATTAAAGTATTATTGGCTATGACCAAAACAAAAAAGCCATGCTGCATCACCTAATGTTATATGTTCTTGAGTTTGGTATGTATTTCATGGATTGTAAAGTAGATGAGTATTCTGAGTATTAGGAGAAAAAAAATAGATTGGTACGTATTGTAAGAGAGGCATTTGTTTCAATAATGCGGGTGTGATCTACAATTTCTAATCGTGGAGAACAGCAAGAATTTAAGATATTCGATGGCTTAGAAGACTTCAGTGACCCTGAAAAGGCAGACTCACTGATTGATGGAGACAAAACAAAAAAATGTAAATTATATATCCTGTTCTGGCCAAAGTAGAGTGACAGGGATCAGATCTATGCCCTGGAACATCTGAAAAGAAAGGGAAGAAAATAAGATAAAATTTTGAAAGACACTGGAAATCAAGAAGCAGAGACTGACCCCTCACAGACAGGAAATAAATGAGGTGAGGCCTATGATTGCTTCAAATTCTTTGAGTTTCTAGGCCACAGCTCAGAGAGGCGGAACCCAGGCAAAGACCAGCAGTATCGCTACTAGTATATAGAGGAATTGGAGTTAAGACACTGTAGAGAACAAGGTGGGTAGAGTTCTCAAGGCAGACAACCAGAGAGCAAAATGAGAGAAAGAGAGGGAACTCCAGAATCTTGCCCCCCACAGGAATGATTCAGCTGATTACTGATCAGCTCATGTGTGAATACATTATTAGAAGCCGGGAAAGAAACCACTGTAAAGGATTCTTGATAACTGATACACAGGGCCTGCAATAGCGACCTTTACTGTCAGCCAGACTAGAAAACCTCTAGATGCACAGGCACTGAATAATTTACGTGGAAGGGTCTTGCTGCAGGAGTGAAGAACAGTTAACCATACAACATGGTGTAACATTATTTAGGCATGTATTATCAGAGGGAACTGCTCTGTTTATTTCAATCAAACCTTAAAATGAACCCCAAAGAATCAAACTGTTTCCAAGCAACATAACAGTGTGCAAAAAGGCAAATACTATTTGTAAAAAGAAAATCAATGGTGAACAACACATGGGTTTTAAATAAAAACACGATCAGTAGTAGGAACACTGATCTATCCTTTGCCCTTGGGCTTTAATATGGCACTGTTTTCCTGAATATTGTTGAAAATGTTACCTTAAAAGATCATTGATCTAGATTTCTGAGGGGATTTTTTGGGTGCCACCTTAAGTTGTATACCCAATGCCTCACTCACCTCACCCATATTTGGGAAAATATCAAAACCTGAGGGCTGTGAGTACATAAGAAAAAACACGCCTCTCAGAAGCTCTTGCCTATCAATTGCTACCTATAATTTATCCAGGAGAAATGGAAGTACTTGTATGAAGATCTGAACACATGAAATATTCGTGGCCCCTTGATTTCCAAACAGCCTCAAACTGAAATCAATCCAAAAGTCCATCAAAAGATGAATGGTGAGCTGAACTGTGGTGTGCCCTTACACGGGAACAGTTCTCTACCACAAGCAAGAATGCAACCTTGCGGGCCATCCCTGGACAATGCAGGCTGTGCAGGGGCGCGTGCTGACCCGCCTGGGGAAAGAATAAGAATGCTGCAGCACCTGGCAATGGTCTCCTAGCAACTGGGCGGCTGGGACAACAAACCCCGGAGGCCTCTGGGCTTCCTGGTCCAAGGGAGCCATGGCGTGCCAGCAGTGGCCCTTACCAGAGCCCCACAAGGGGTGGCTGTTAAAGTCGGACCTGAGGAAGAAGGCGCTCATAGAGTCGGGGCTGATCAAGCCGTGGCAGTCAGGGCCGAAGCTGGACAAGAAGCCGGAGCCCAGCAAGAAGTGGCTGCTAGGGCCGGGGCCACTGGAGCCCTTGCCTCTGGGCATGAAATGTAAGCCCTGGTTCAAGGACAGGGACAGGTTGCCTTCCCGCTATCTCTCCAGGCAGAACAACAAGCTTGGGAAGTGCCCCACCTCCATGGACAGCCGGCGGTGGGTATTTGTGAAGGAGGGACTGGACGACTTCAGAACGGGCTGTCCATCTCCTGAAGATGTGATCACTCGTGGCCCTCGGGAGGGCTTTCTCCCCATGATTTCTCAGAGAATTCCCCCTCCCGAGGCAGTCCACCCCGAATCTCCCTGGAAGCTCAACCTGGAACCTCCCGAGGAGGTCAACCTGGAACCTGAAGACCAAGCCCACGTGGAAACGGCCAAGGAGAGTCTCCAGTCTTATTTATTCAGTTTGTTTCCTGAGGAAGAGACAAATGCAGCATGCACAACGGATATCCCCAAAGTTCCTGGGCTCCAAAAAGCAAGAAGAAGAGTTCGTGAATTCTTCAGATGGATCAATGATAATTTTGGAGACATAGGCCTTGATGAAGAGGACATCATGAAACAGTTTGAAATTGACTTAGAGGTCCCACTCACCCATAATACAGTCAAAATAAAGAAAATAAGCCAGCTTCCTTTGAATATAAAGCCCTGCAAACAGCTAGATGACATACAGCAGAGAAAATTCTCCCTGCAGGAAGGTAACTGGGAAAGGAAACTCCGCAAACAACAAGACCCTTATAAACCCAAACGGGAGAAGATAAGGTATGGAGCATGGTACCTGGACCCCAAATGCTGGAAAAAGCTGGTCAATGAGCAGCCTTTGCCCGACCCTAAAGTCGTCCCTGACAAGGAGCATCAGACCTATGGAAGGCATCTAGAACCAGACATTATTGATGAACTTTATGGACCAATTGCCTTCAAAGATTTCATTGTAAGCAAGGGCTACAGGATGCCAGGTGTGATTGAGAAGATGTTTATGAGGAAGGGATGGACATATGAGTCTGTGAAGACGCCTATACACCGAGTAATGAAACTCCTCTCCAAACCCAAAGAGGAGGATTCAGGGGACAAAGAGGATTAGACAATTTTCTATTTACTATTCACTTGGCTAGTGTGTCTCTCTCATTTTAACATGAGTCAGAATTCACCATGAGTGCCTTACTGTGTATGGACAATTTGATTCCACAACATCTGTAAATTTAATACCTATTGCTAATAAAACTTTCTGAATGAGCTTCTGCTTGGGTTCATCAATATTTTATGTATTTTACCAATTATGAAGTCAATATTTACATATACCCCTCTTTGTTTTTATTGCATTAGGAGTATTATATTTTTATTTCAATTATTCATTAAAAATAACCATAAATAAAAGAATTACTTACAAAGGATCATGTTGTCCAGCGGATATGGCTCAGTGTTTCAGCATTGACCCATGAACCAGGAGGTCATGGTTTGATTCCAGGTGAGGGCATATGCCTGGGGTGCAGGCTTGATCCTCAGTGGGGGTGTATACAGGATACAGCATGGCCCTGATCACAGGCCAGGCCTCGGGACTGTACCTGTGCATGAATTTCTTGCACCAGGCCTCTAGTATACTTATAAAAAATTATGCCAGCTACTGCATGGGATGAATCACAAAATAATTGTGCAGAATGAAATAACTGTATTGCTCCAATAATATTCAATTTATAATGCATTGTGAGAATTATTTTGTTAAGCACAACTTGTAACCTGTAGACAAAGTAACTTTCTGTATTGTTTTTGAATTGTCCATGGCTACCTTTGCACTACAACATGAGAATTTAGGAATTGTCACAGAGATCATATGGCCTGCAAGCCTAAAATATTTCTTATCTGAATTTTTACTTTAAAATTTACTGTCCTTCTGATCTAGAAGAAAAATATATTCATACATATATTAAATCAATGATGCCACTCTTTAGCTGAAGGAAAAATGATGCACACTCATCTATGGAATAGAATAAATAAAATATATTTATAAAATTAACTACTGTGGGGCCTTGACTTACGAGTGTCCAGACTAATGAGTTTTTCGAGATAAGAGCCGTCTCTCAGCCGATTTTTTGCTTTGAGTTGTGAGCTAAAATTCGGGTTACGAGCCAGCTTCAGATACCCCACCGCTAGTTGGTGCAGCGAACTTCACAGTGAACGCCACAACATCAGCCCAGCATCACGTGTCTCACTCGTTCACTTTTTGATTTGACATACGAGTAATTTGAGTTA